CATCATTCGTTTACGCAATACTTACGTCTCGTTGATCGACTGTAACATCGCCAATCTAACCTACTTAAACGATATCTCATCAAGCGACAATTTTCTTCCTCCCATTATTTCTGCATATCTTTTGATCAAAATGATAATAAGGATTATTCTTTTCTTCTCTTTTGTTTTTCTAATAAAATCTCGATGCTTTTCATCATTCGTTTACGCAATACTTACGTCTCGTTGATCGACTGTAACATCGCCAATCTAACCTATTTAAATGATATCTCATCAAGCGACTGTCAATTTTTTTCTTTCCCTTCATTATTTCTTCATATCCTTCGATCAAAGTGATAACAATGATTATTCTTTTCTTCTTTTTTGTTTTTCTAATAAAATCTCGATGCTTTTCATCATTCGTTTACGCAATACTTGCGTCTCGTTGATCGACTGTAACATCGCCAATCTAACCTATTTAAATGATATCTCATCAAGCGACTGTCAATTTTTTTCTTTCCCTTCATTATTTCTTCATATCCTTCGATCAAAGTGATAACAATGATTATTCTTTTCTTCTTTTTTGTTTTTCTAATAAAATCTCGATACGTTTCATTATTTGTTTACGCAATACTTACGCTTCGTTACGACGTACCGTTGATCGATGGTAACACTGCCAATCTAACCTAATTAAATAATATATCTTATCAAATGATTGCCAATTCTTTTCTCCATTATGTCTCTATATCTTTTGATCAAAGTGATAATAAGGATTATTCTTTCCTTCTCTTTTATTTTTTTAATGAAATCTTGATACTTTTCACTATTCGTTTATGCAATACTTATGTCTCGTTGGATCGACTGTAACATCGCCAATCTAACCTACTTAAACAATATCTCATCAAGCGACTGCCAATTTTCTTCTTCCCATTATTTCTCCATATCTTTTGATCAAAGTGATAATTAGGATTATTCTTTCCTTCTCTTTTATTTTTTTAATGAAATCTCGATACTTTTCACTATTTGTTAACGCAATACTTACGTCTCGTTGATCGACTGTAACATCGCCAATCTAACCTATTTAAATGATATCTCATCAAGCGACTACCAATTTTCCTCCTTCCCTTCATTATTTCTTCATATCCTTCGATCAAAGTGATAACAATGATTATTCTTTTCTTCTTTTTTGTTTTTCTAATAAAATCTCGATACTTTTCATTATTTGTTTACGCAATACTCACGCTTCGTTACGACGTACCGTTGATCGATGGTAACACTGTCAATCTAACCTAATTAAATAATATATCTTATCAAATGATTGCCAATTCTTTTCTCCATTATGTCTCCATATCTTTTGATCAAAGTGATAATAAGGATTATTCTTTCCTTTTCTTTTGTTTTTCTAATAAAATCTTGATACTTTTCATCATTCGTTTACGCAATACTTACATCTCGTTATTCGATTGTAACATCGCCAATCTAACCTACTTAAACGATCAAGCGACTGTCAATTTTCTTCCTCCCATTATTTCTGCATATCTTTTGATCAAAAAGATTATTCTTTTCTTTTGTTTTTCTAATGAAATCTCGATACTTTTCACTATTCGTTTACGCAATACTTACGTCTCGTTGCGAGTCTTTGTTCTATTCTTACAAACGTAATTCTTTTCGATAAATCCCACCATACGTAGAAAGAACCAATTCAAAAACGGAATTTCACAAAAATTCTCTTTCTTTCAACCTTTCTTCCCCCTATATATATATATCATAACAAACTTCTTTGATCATCTAGCCTAACCTGTCTCTTCGACGTCATCACGGCTACCGCTGGATCAGCTTCTTCCTCCCTTCTACCCACGCTCCTCGTAACATTCCCCGCGTGGCCCATCGAGTCTATCTTTATCGACCTCTGCCTGGACTTGGAATAGCCTCTGTTCGTCGAGAGCAGCACCCACTGGCCGTCCCCGTTCCCGGGATAACTCTGCGGATGATTGTTCACGTATTGGTAATGGGAGAAGGCGGTCGGCCTCTCGGTGCTCGGCCTAGGTGTTGGACGATCCTCGAGCCTCGTCGGAAAATCGTGCCAATCGTTTCCCTCTTCCCCCTGATATTTATCCGGATACTTGTCCAGATATTGATAGCTCGGTTTCGTCGGTTGCGGCCTGTTCCAATTGCTGGGGAAATTGGCGGGCCTGTTGTCGGTAATTATATCGGTGTTGATGCTTGGACGGTCCGTGTATTTGTTCCAAGAGGGCCTCTCGGGTGGCCACTTCTGAGCCTGCGTCTCCTCCGGTTTCTCAGTGTAGTAAGGCCGATTGGGCTTTTGCCACGCGGGTTTGTCGTTCTGGCTGTTCTCCGGCCAACTCGGTTTCGGCTTCTCGTACCTGGGGAGGGGGAAGGGGAGAGAAACATTGTCAGATTTCGTTTCACATTTCAACTTAATGAAATTTGTAGAGCTTTTTAGAGCTAAAGAAAATTATTTTAATCTACTTCTTCAAATTTATTGAAATAAATTATTCAAAAATTTAATTTATTCGCGAAACTCATATTTTGATCTCGAATTTTATCGAATCATTAACCATAATTTAAATTAATTTATAATTATTTAAAATCAATTCGAAATTTCGTCTGAAATTAACAAATTTAATCATTCCTTTAAACACAATTTTAATCTATTAAAATAAAATTTATAAATTAAATAATAATTTCAAAAGTGTTAATAACTATTTTAAATTCTATATATAATTAAATATAAATGTATTAATTACTTTCACGCGATTTTAACGTATTTAACGAGAAAGGTGCAAATTTACCATGGTTTATTGTTCTCGTAGATGGGCCTGACGGAGTAATCGGAGGTCCAAGGTTTGCCCGGTTTATCCCACGGCTTCACTTCCGGCCACGGGCGTTGCGTGCTCGGGGTCGCTTGCCATTTCGAAATCTTGCTCTTCGACCAGGGTATCGCCTCCAACGTGACCCAACCGTTCCTATCGTCGTACGAGTTCGCCCCGTAATACTTGTTCCTCTTTATCGTGTCGTTCAGAATCCCGCCCAACTGAAATCGTTAAATCATTAAATTGAAATCGAGAAACGAAATAAACGAACAAAAATAACAAAAATAAATAAATAATCTTACTCCATCCTCGGTGGACGTGGAATTGATCGGCTCCTCCTCGTACTTGGTGTTTTGATCTTCGTGATCGATGATCGACGATCGAACGGTGGTCTGCTCGTCCACCTCGAGGGGGAGCGGCTCGGAAGGCTTGACGATCCTGAACGGATATCTCTGGTACTTCTCGGTGCTGCCCTTGATCTTGCTCGCGTACTCCTCCAAAAACTTGTTCAACACGTCCGGATTGAAGGTGGACGCCTCGAATCCGTTCCTCGACTCGTCCTCGTCGCCCCTCGTAGTCGTCGACGAGTACTCGTCCCTGCCCGCCCTCCTCGGCGTCTCGTGGCGCAACGGGCTCGGGGTGGCCATGACCCCCTCCTCTTGCACCGCCCTCGAGCTCTCCCCCTTCGTCTTGAACAACTCGGCCGCCTTCGACCTCGCCTCGAACGAGTATCTCGGCCCGCATCGCGACTCCCTGAGCCTCGATGCGACGAGGAGAAGGCAGATCAGAGCCGAGACCCGCATCTGAAAACGTCTTGGAATATCCCAACCTCGAAATCGATCTTCCAACTTTTCCAAGATCTGTCGGCAGCTCGTGTTGGCGGAACGCGGCCAACCGTAGGATGGGACGAAGGGCAAGCCAGGAACCCGTTAGGAAACCACGGAGCGAGGCAACGTGACGAGGAGTGGTGAACGGGGCCGGTACCGTCCACTTCCACCACGTTCAAGGTCCGAGATGGCTCTGTCGCCGAGACGTTGCCCTCGTTCGCTTTTAATCCAGGTCCCCACTTCCTGGATACTTGGTCCATTTTGCGTCTCGCTCTTGCCGCCACGTGCTCGCCGTACGACAAACCGTGTGCACCACGCTTGGCCACCTGGAGAACGGAGACGCGCGCGTCGTCTCTTCTTCCTCTTCTCCAAACTCTTCCTCGCCTATTCTCTTTGATAATCGTCGAGCCAAGAGGGCCTCGATTGACACACATCTTTCATCCTTTTTTTCCTCTCCTTTCTTTCTTTCCCGTCTTTCGCTAAAAATTCTTAAGATCTTTCCTTCGAATTGCACGCGCCCAGTTTTGGGAACAAAAGAAGAACGCGTCGCGGGGTCTCGTGGGACGCGGTTGGAAGAAGCGAGGGTTTCGTCACGCGCTAATTCACGAAGCGGCTGTGGACAATCAACAGCAAGTTTGCACGCTGCTTTTTCCGCCCGTGATTCGCGAGCCAGAGCTCGACACCTCCCCACGCTTTTCCTCCACACCTCTCGACGGATCCTCTTCGGATCCCCGCGCATCGCCAATGTTCCTTCCATTCCAACGGATAATCCGACTCT